GGGCTTTCTATGACTTATAAATTATAAATTAATTCATACGTCATAATTTTAAGATATAAGTTATATGTCCATGGTTGCACTATCTGCCTAATAATTATCGACAACATAATCGTTATCATAATAGGAAATACTTTTGAAGAGATAAAATACTGTTTAATAATATTATTAATTGAATCCAAGTAGCGTTATGAATGAATATTGCTACAAACAAATTCAACTTTTAATTTTATTCGGAAAATTAAAATTTTGGCGAGCAGCTACTGTATGTAGCTGCAGGTTCTTCAAAATACATTTGTATTTTGTAATACTCTCCAAATTTATTTTTAAGTAAATACAAAATACTGTATTTTGTCCATGCCTGAACTCTACGTAAAGCACAAGCCTAGAATAAAGTGTACTACACAAGTTTATGAACCATGCCTACATACTTAGGACACAATTTATGATGACCCCAAATGGCGATGTCAATTTCATGTACATTACATTTTCAACAACTGAATAATATGTATTATTGAATTAAGGAGCACTTAAAAAATTTCAAAAATTGAAAGCTACTTGCATGGTTTTTTTAATGCAGGAAGTATTTTCAGGCAAAACAACTAAAAAACATGTTTCGATGAAATCCATGAATAAATCGCGTTGATCTTAAATCAATTTTGGTGAACAAAATATTTGTAGTTTCAACCGTTTCTAGTTTAGTTTCCGGTTTGTTTCCGTTTCGTTTCGGATCGTTTCCGTTTCCAAAATAATTTTTCCGTTTCGTTTCCGTTTCCAAATTCTCGTTTCCGTTTCGTTTCCGTTTCCTTCGAAATCCGAAACGAAACGAAACGGTCGGAGCACTAAGAGCAACCCCATGAAAATTGGGCTCACAGGTTCGAATCCCAGAATACTCGGCCCAGACAGACCGTTAATATATTTCTATGTTTCAAACTAGTTCTGCTAAGTTTCACAAGCTTTCATCATCAATTTCCGAAAGTTGCCCAAACCTCGAACCTTGTTATTGATCAGGTCACTAGATAATAACAACTATTTTTATGGTTTGCATCGCAGATTCAGACTGGCTTCGTCATGTCCAAACTGACCACGCTCTCCATCCATGCCAGAAATGCGTACTGGATTAAAGACTTTTTTGATGAGAACCACTTTCCACAATTAAATACCCTCTCACTCTGCAACGGAGAAGATAAGTCTTCGCTGTCAGCCCATCTAAACTTGTGGCGGCGGCACAGAGGCGTTGAATCCCTCACGTTGGGAATGGATTTATGGGTAAAGGAAGAATTCGGGGAAAAAATGGTCCAATTATTTCCAACCGTTAAGAAATTCGATGTCAGGGTGGAACTCGGTTACTGATACACCTTTTAGCTCGCTACTACCAAAATGTTTTACCCCACAATTTCAATTCCTAAATATTCAACAAATACACATATTTACTTCAAAAGCAGTAACAATTTATTACTAAAGGGTGAGATTAACACGCACACATCTACCACATGATAATTAAAAAAAACAATATTTGTTGCAGTGAGTAAAGTGAAGTTGCTGTCATGTACACATATTTAGTTCTTTCCCCGTCATCTATACACTCTTAGCAAAACGGTGAGCCCACATGACTTAACCAAATTATGCTAATATTTTACCCCACATTGCAATGTGGGCCAGGACATGTGATTTGGTGGCCATTAACTGAGTGTGAGCCACAGGGTAAATTCTATACCAGATAAACGGAGTATGAAGCCATTAACATTGTTGCAAAATGTCATCAATTGATAAACTCCAGCTTCAAAGTAACAGGGTTCCAAAGTTCAGAGAAAGCATTGGAGTAAGTGGGCACAAGTTTCGATAAGCGCCACCGCTCGCCACCGGCTTCTCCGGCTGATTTTTTGCGATCATTGTTTTCTTTTAGTCTTGTTGTTTGCGAAACACACCCAACATCGTCCCACTTTTTGAAATTTCAAACATTACGGAGTCGTAGGGTGCGCCAGATTGTATATATCATATGCAAACAGTTTTAAACAGTTTTAACGCCCGTCCGTAAAATATCTAAGTAATACTGTCTCCTTCGCAATAAGTATTCAACTGATTTTATTGTGTTTAATTTTCCCCCAGCCTCACCCATAACAGAGCGATAGCATTTAAGGGGACGGTGACTGAGTAAGGTGCCAACGTAACTCATGTTTCACCTTTTTTCAAATAGCTGGTATTTGAACAATATTGGATGGATTTTCTTCTTTATTGATGAAAAATGATCTGAATGAGTTGTATTTACAGATTCGTTACGAATTTTAATTTTTCGCCATTTACAAATATTTACGCTCTAACGGCAAAAGTTATAAGGCCAAATCTCACATAGCCCCATAAATGGGGTACCGTTGGCGGGAGGATTCAGTATATATATACTTTGTGGGATCTAGGACCACCCCCTGAGTATTTAGAGACCGATCAATATTTTTGAGTTTTAGTTTTCTAGGTATGTACAGGTTAACACAGGAGGAGATTGAGAATTAACACAGCAGTAGATCGACGTAAACTCCATAATATTCTTCGGTCTCTAAATACTCAGGGGTGGTCCCAAACCCCACAAAGTGTATATATTCTGAATCCTCCGGCCGAGATCTTTCTAATGGTACCCCATTGATGGGGCTACCTGAGACATTCAGGCTGATTTGTATTTTTGGCCAAAATTTATGATACCTGGCCCACTGTGCATTGTGATAAATCTTCCCCACCATGTGTAAACTTAAAACTATATAGTGAGGATTTAACACATTGTGAGGAAAATTTAACACAATGTGTAAAACATTAGCACAATTTGGTTAAGTCATGTGGACTCCCCGTTTTGCTAAGAGTGAATTAGCATTTTGTAACCACGTGGTTCCGAGACTTTACCTACTACGCCACCAATGCTTGCTTCAGGTCCAATCGAAACATCACCCTGAGGCCGTCATGATTTTTCGGTGCTTTGTCAGCATCTCCAAAATCTTCGGCCCAACTGAGTCAGCTGGGCTGACCTTGGTCGTTGCGTAGCTTAATACCCACTCATTTTCAACGCCACGGAGACTCAGGGTTTTTCTCTAAGTCCTTGGTCGCCAAACTGTATCGGACATTCGCGCACCCATTCCAGGACGACCTCATTGTTGAAATGCGCCTTTTCCATAATGTCCAGCTGGTAATATTGTGTATTACCGACTTGACTGGCAAGGTTGGGACAAAGCCCAACGGTTTGGTAGTCCTTACGATATATCTGCATCGGTTTAATATAAAACTGGTTAGATTTGCAAAATAGTAGATAATTTTGCGACTAATATCATGGAAAGTTTCAAACACATTAAATCTAAATATTGGCGACGCGAAAAGCTTAAACCCAGTGTTTCCGGTGCAAGTAACCACCTGCATGAAATAACTGCAAGAAACTGGTTTCTTGCAGTTATTTTGAACCTCAAGAAATGCAAGTTGCAAGAAAATCCTCCCCGCCGCTATATTTCATATGGCGGGTCGCTAGATGGCGCCTTATTTCTTGCACTTTCTTCCACCTATATTTCTTTCAGTTTCTTGCTTTGCAGTGTAAGAAAAGAAGCACACTCGCAAGAAACGAAACACTGCTTAAACCTTTATCTTTAAATTCAGTTAGGCAATAAAAATGCACAAACTATCGAAAAAAATAAAGAGACGATGACTGATTTAGAGAAGAACAAAATATTATTTACATCCTACCTAGCCCTCCGCTGTCAAATATGAGACACCATCACTGCATTGGCCGACAGGATACGTGCAAAGGTTGGGCTGCCACGTGTCCTTCACGTCGATTAATTTCGGCGTTAAGTGTTCGTCCCATGACGACGTTTTCGTACAGGTTGAGGGTGTACAAAAAAAAATCGGCACATCTCTCCAGACCGCAATGATAACGAAAAAACGGTACATCCTGCCGTCCTTGGGTGAGAATCAAATTTACTGATAATCTGAAATCCTTTGTCAGGAATTCAGCTGTTACGCCCTTCAATCCCAACGATATTTGAGTTCCGGAGCGAGAGAGAGTTGGGCGCGAAGAGAAATTGGGTGAACCAGGAGACACCTTTTTTTTCAGGAATGAGGCGATTTTTATCAAAGAAACGATCACATGGATTGCAATCGCTACAGTTAAGACGTTGGTTAGCCGTTTTAACGTATTCTCGTCGAAGGTGGACTCTGCAGACATTTTGAGGCAGTCAGGAAAGTTTAGGAGAGAAAAATATGCACATTTACGTAAAGTACGCAGTCAAATGGAGGAGGGTTGGAAGTGGACTGACCCTTGGATACAAAATCCGTTGGCATTTATTTGTCGGATTTCTGTATCGAGTATGACAGGCAGGGTTTCGATTGGTAAAAACCAAATGGACCAGAGCAATGGGATAAAGGCAATCATAGACCCAATTCATTGGACTGATTAAGGGTACTTTGTGGGTTACTCCACCAGCTATGCTAATGGAGGTGATGTCGAAAATCGAATTTTTGAAAATCCTTCAAGCATGTGGTGGTGGACCTTAAAACATGGCGAAAAATCATTATCCGCGAATGTTTAAAACATCGGTGGGCGTGGTACGAGGGGGGTGGCTTTTATTGAGATCCCACTTTTGCGCCGCCGCTATTGCACCTACATGCTCCAACTTTCACATGAACATACCTTGGCTCAATCAAAACACGGACCTTTTTCGCTTTTTTCGAAATTAGGTCATGGTGACCGTTTTTAGGTCAAAATGCAAAATCCGTCCAATTTGTCTTAATCGGGTCATGTGGGGTGTCGTTCGAAAGGTCTTGACGAGAGGATTCAGAATATATATACAAATATGCGATTAACACGGAAATATGAATGGATCATTCGTCTAGGGTCCTAGTAGATTCTAAAACTCATAGTGGGTACCCTGGACAATAAGCAGTCGGGAACCTTCCCTTGTCAGTACCCGAGCTTTCACTCATGACTTGATATTCGTAATCTACAAAATTTTGTGTATTCATACATCTTAACTGCATTTCCAATTTCTCCGTTAGTAATTTATTCAAACACAAATTTGTACAATTAGTGAATCAATTACTTGAACCATGATTTGAATATTGCTCGCACAATAATAATAATAGCTTTAACAATTTTCTTCCAGTACTTTCTCACCCAGCCCCAGAACCGAGCGGAAACTAGTTCCCTCTCATCTCCCCCCAGTAGAACATCAAGTCGGTGAGCGGCGTCCATCACTCCCTCCATGTTTTCCCCTTTTCCTCTTGCCACAATGTCCCAGGCCGCTTTAGCCTCCTTATTCATGGTAAGTTCGTTCTGTAACTCGGAATAAGCTTGCTTCGTCTCCTCGCCTTCGGTTTTGTTCGTGTAGTAGAGCTCGTCTATGTAGGAGGGGATCCTTTCCTCGATCTTCCCCTCCTGGAAGACTTTAATTGAATCCCTTTCCCCATACTCTCCGACCAGGTCTCGCGTACAGGCGGCCAAAGATTGGTATTCCGTCTTCAAATTTATATTTAAAAAAAGGATAAGACAAACATTACAAACCTCAGGTATAGCTTTGCGGGGCTGGGTTCAGGATATATATGACTAAAATAAAATTAAAATGGATTAAAATGAGGTCATGTCGAACCACTCTGTTCTGCATTTCAACTTTCTAGGGATTTCGAATTTGCTTTCAAATTTTATCCAAGTTACATTAGCATATTTAAAATTTTGACCAGATCCGACAAGTTTAAATAGATAAACAGGCGAACAGACATGAATCCCGGGTCGGTTTGGGGTGAAGTGATAAAACTTACGTCTTGTCCGAATGCCAAGGTGATGGAAAGGAGTAACGCCAATATTTTCATTTTTCACTTTATTTGGCATTTGGAAATTCTGCTCAATTATCCAGCCTCACTCATACCTAAGCGGAGTTTTTCTTTAATGTGATGAAAAGTTGGAGAAATTTTCAGCTTTTATATGCATCCAAGCTTATTATGCAACCTACTGTTGCGCAGAAGAGAGGTAAGCACATAATCCTAAGACGATGTAATAAAATGTACGCCGAAAATTTAATTCCGAGTCGTAATAAATAATTGGGCTAAAAACAATTCTCAGTAAAACGCTGGATGTGCTGATTTATTACGCTACTTCAGTTCAGTTACAGCAATACTTCCACGTAGAGCAGTGCTATTAGTTCATATACTAATTACCGTCTTTTGCGACTTACGATCATAAACGTAAATATGCATCACAAGCTCGGGTTTCAAATAAATTCAGGGCGCATATATTGCGCCTTGAAGCGTAATCTGGTAATAAAATAAGTAGTACCTAATTACCTAATTAACTTATGCAAGGCCAATTTTTCGGCAGTTTTGACATTTTTTAAGCTGTTAGAAACGCTTGTTAAATTAATCTATATTTGATAATTGAGCTCATAAATATTACGCGATCGGCCTCATTCACCCGGGATCAAACAGTTCAAAACTAGAATTTTAGAGCGGGTAATAAAATGCACAAAGGGTTCAGTTAGTCAGCATGACGCAATATTTTATACCCGGTGAATCCATTCGTTACGAAAGTTGGTTACATGATTACTGGATTAACTTGAAACGCAGTAAAGCAATAAATATGACGTCCTGATAACCCAGATTGATTGTAAACAAAATTATTAATTTCGTAATATGTTTTTCACAATTAACAATTTATCCTCATATGTATACAGTAATCCGTCCAAAATTTAATCCATACCATCCGCTAGGGCTACAAATACCGTCCGCATTTAACCAAGAATTGCTTTTTGGGACCCACATTTATTTGTTACTTATGACTCGCCGTTAAATAGTCGGGGCAGATTTTAAGGATTAACTTGGATTAGAATTCCCATGTTTTTTAACTCAATTCTGGACTACACGACGTATTAGGTTGCACAATAAGCATACATATAAGCGTCGAAACTTGAAAAGGTTGCTCCCACATCCAAGAAGACCTTTCCTTAAACAGCACTAACTGCGACCCAATTTCAATAAATTTATAATCAAATTACAAAGTACAACAAAATTTCCGAATACCGAGATCACCACTTCGCAATGAAACTATTCGTCTTGCTCATTTCTTTCGCACTGACACTTGGTCAAGATGTAAGTTCAAATCTCATTTCACCGCTAAATCTTTTTTTACCTTTTTGGTTTATTTTTCTACCTTTAAATTATAAGACTGAGTTCCAATCTTTGGGCGACTCTATGAGAAACATAATAGCAAAATATGGCGAAAAGGAGACACTTCGAGTATTCCAAGAGGGGAGGATCGAAGCGAGGATTTCTTCCTACATAGACGAACTTTTCTACAGGAATAGAACTGAGGGTGAGGAGACGAAGCGGATCTACGCTGAACTTCAGGACGCACTTTCCGATAACCGGGAGGCCAACGAGGCCTGGGACATTGTCGCGAGGGGAAAAGGAGAAAATCTCGAAGTCGTGATTGGCGCCGCCTACCGGCTTGACGCCATCCTGGGAGAAGAAGTTTCTGGATCGAGGCGAGGCTTCTGGGACTGGGTGAAGAAAAACTGGAAAACGATCGTTCAAGTCACTGTTGCCGTTGTGGAACTGTTGGTGGCTTAAAATAACTAGTTAGGGGCCAAGCAAATATTGCGTCATCAAAAATTATCGATTTTAGCAAACACACCCCCAACTTAAGTATACATAAAAGGATAATGAATTTTACCACGGGAAAGATAGCAAGACCTAAACTGCCCATCCAATAAAATGATGACGTAATATATGGCCGTACCCTATTGAATTTTACTAGTCTATTTATTCTTGAATACATGTTAACGGTTAAATTTGAAGCAAAATTAATGACAAGCCGTACATATTTTGAAGTAGGAGTGAGACATTCGCAAAGGACTTATTTTCATGAAAAATTCTAAAATGGATACAAATTGTAAAATTATTTTTATAGATTGTCATGTTCTCCGGATTATTCCCAGATCACGTATATATACGTAATCAAACATATGTATAGTATGTAACGAAATTAATCGTATAGTGTGCATGAGTTCAGAGTGTAGTCGGATCGACATTTCTTGAAATCCAATCCAATCCGACTTGGTCGGGGGTTTCAAAAAACCGATCCAATCCAATCCGACTTGGCTTGATCATAAAAAAACCGATCCGAAAAAATCCGAGCCAAACCGACTTGTTCGATACAATCCGATCCGAGTGGTCGGATTTTAAAATAATCCAATTCAATCCGACTTCGTCGGATTGAATTGACCAAAAAGCAACACCAACACCAAAAAACCGAATCCGAAATCAATTTTTCCAATGTTATAAAATGTTATAAAAAACCCTGATGACATAACCAGTCAGGTTAAATTATATGAATATTTAAATCAATTTGAATATTTATTAATACATTTTACATAGAACCGAATCATGAATGATAAAATTTGAATTACTCTCAGTAATTAACCAATAAAGATAAATTTTGGCTTATTTCATACACTCAAAGTATCAGTTCGCCCCCGTAGACCGCATAATTAAAATAAATCGACGTCGATTGTACATAGACAAACAGAACTCAGAGTTATTTCAGTTTTTGCAAAAGAATTTGCCATCCATCCTTTTCTCTTTAGTTAATTTATAACTAGCTACAATTCCGAGTTCCCAGAAAGTTCGCTGCCACCTTCTTCATTCTGATCCATTCTACAATTGTGATTATAAGTTAATGCCTTTGCTCAATTTAAAAATGATTTTTTTCTTACATTTTAAGCAAATTTGGTATGACGAGTGATTAGTGTGAATTAAAATTAAATTTATTTCCAATTTCGTGTGGAGTGAAACTGCTTGCAAAGGAAAAAAGAAGTGTTACAAAGTGTGTCTACAGTTTCCTTGTGGACTCCATTGTGGAGGGAAATCAAGAGAAAATGCGACTTTGTTATCTAAACAAGAATTGTGCAGAGTTGTGTGTGTGTGTGTGTGTGTGTTACCTTTTGAACCAAGCGCTTCACTCGATGATATGCATCACAATGCCCCATATTTACTTAACTTACATGCGAACGCCACCTAGCGGCACTTTAGGGTACCAAGTTGCATTTGTTGTTGCCGCTAGAGGGCGTTCTCCGCTGTATGTGTCAAAACGTTCTCACAACGTTGTCTAAACGTTCTTAAAACGTTCTCCAAACGTTCTTAAGATGTTCCCTAAACGTTCTTAAAACGTTCTCTAAACGTTGCTAAAACGTTCTCTAAATGTTCTTAAAACGTTCTCCAAACGTTCTTAAGATGTTCTCTAGACGTTGTCAAAACGTTCTTTAAACATCACTAAAACGTTCTTCAAACGTTCTCAAAACGTTAGCTAGCATCAGACCAACGTAATAAACCTCCCGCTGGACCAGACTTAACCCTCCCACCCGTAGAGTTGTAGCGTGACCACTGGCCTTTGCACATCCCTTGGAGTGCTCATGTGACCTGTGACCATAGCCTCATGGTCACAGTGCACGTCGGCACACCATAGAATTGTCATTGGACTTATGACCTGTATTTACACAACATGTTTCATCACCTCATAGTTTCCTTTCAAGTTATCCATACCAAGAATTGTGCAAAGTGGTACGGTTTTGAATTTAGCGGTCGATTTTATATGTCTCTCACAGTGCCCCAATAGTAGTTAAGATTTCCCGCTAGCGCCACCTATCGACATTTTGAGGTACTGGATTATAGTTTTATCCCCTAGAGGGTTTTCCTTGCTGCAAATTTTCAAACGTTATAAAAACGTTGACCAACACAAGATCAACTCCACACACCCCCAACGATGGAGGAGTGTTGCCCTTACGATCTGAGCACACCCTCTAGAGTTTGACCTCTGATCTAGGCACACCCACTACAGTCGTAACTTAACCTGTCACCTTGGTACACCTCCTGGAGTTGACTCAGACTGGGGATGGTGTTTTGCCATTAAAACTAGATGGGCTTGAATACAAGGTTGTCTCATATTGCCCAATTGTTATTAAAATTACCTACTAGCGCCACCTATCGATTTTTGAGGTATTATTAGGTTATATTTTATACCTCTAGAGGGCATTAATTGCTTCAAAGATTGTTCCCAAAGGTTGACCAGCAGAGGAAGAATGGAACGCAACCCCGTCTTCACCTTATAACATGAGCTGTACTGTAACAAGAAATACGGAAATTTCGATAATATCTTATGAAATTATTTAAGTTTTAAACCACCCATGAGACGGGCTCATAGTTCCACATTTTCATAATTGCTCCTTTTAGCGCATTATCATTGCAACTCATTCAGAGATACGCGATTATTGTATGTTTTTCTGAGATAAAGGATTATTATTTTTCCGGGATTAGATTAATCCGTGATTAGTTAAGTAATTGAATTTCGTCAGGATTAAGGATTAATTCACAATGTCTTTGAATTCGCGATTAAGCAGGGTTTCGAGTGGTAAAAGCTAAATTGACCAGGGTATCGGGAAAAAGTGAGAAAAAGGCTCTTTTTACCACCCACTAAAATCAGTGGGAAATGGAGAAAAAGTTCAAAACCATTCAAAAGTGGCCGCATTATATACCATAGTTTTCTGAATTTCATGGAGATGACGAATATGAAGTCAAATTCCGAAAATGTTGAGGATGAAAAAATTTACCCTTCACCATAACTAAATACATGAGCCCCCATATTTTCCCATTTTGGACTGTTACATACCATTTTTCCCCGGTTTTTCCCACTTCTTCCCACCTGCCGTGGCAAAAATAGTTTTGGACGGGAAAAACGAAACCCTGGGATTAAGGATAAATTAATCCTGATTAATTTGTGCTTAAGGATTAATGGAATTTTTATTTTAATGAATTTAACCATGACAGTGGCGTCTTATATATTTATGTATGTCAATGCTATCTGAAATTTGGTACTAATCGACATGTGACGGATATCTTCAGGTTTAATTACATCTCAAATATGCTGTCATTCGAAAGATTTTATATAGGGGAATTCCCTAAGGGGATAGCATGTGTCTTCTAAAACTAAAAAAACCGATGTACAGGTGCACTTAAAAGAGTTAGGTAGGCTGTTCGAAAAACATCAAGTCCACATCTATGCATGACCGCGAGAGAAATTTTGCTTTGGGAACCCGCTAGTCGGGCTTTAAATACTAGTTTGCAATACGAGGGAGAGGGCAAGAACTAATGGGTGATGTGAAACTGAGAGCAGTCGAGTCGGACTAGGATTTTTACTTTTTTAAATCCAATCCGATACGATCCGACTTTATCCGGTCCTAAAAAATCCGACCCAATCCAATCCGACATCATAGTGTACTAAAAAAATCCAATCCAATCCGACTTTCTCAAATATTTTTCCAATCCAATCCAATCCGACACGGTCGGATTGGATTGGACTCGGTTAAATCCGCGAAAGTCGGATATCCGACTACACTCTGCATGAGTTTCACTCTTTCTGTAATGACTCATGCTGGCTTTCAAATTTTAACATTATTTTTTTAACATTTATTCATCATGTTCATTAAGGTCGGGGTACGCGTACTCCGGAATACGAAGTACGCGGTCGTAAAAGTTGTACCACACTTTTCACGTTATTACCAAATGCGGACTCCGTTACGCTTTCGTGATGACGAGCAGTGACACAGTTTGGGTCAAACAATGATCCTGCACTTTCAGGAAGGTCGTCCCCTCGGCGTAACTGTTTCCAAATTTGATCCTCAGAGGTCTCAACGATTTAAAGCATCTCGTTACACTGCGTTCCTTCTTTTGTCCGCTACGTGGTTTCCAATACTTCCACATGTCTACGATCTCCTTCGACCTCACGTTCACCATGGCGGCTGCCTGGAACATGAGCAGATTTAGGGTGAAAGCATCCGCCGTCAACAAACTGAACAGAAGAAGGTCCAGTACTCCAAGTTCCAATCGGAAGGCAATGAGGGCATAGATCGAGAAAGTTTGCACCAATGGTCCCGCCAAAGTGAGGAGGAGCATGATTCGCCTTTGGACACACTCATTCAGCATTACCTCCAAGATGGTAAGCATACGGTAGATTTGAACCACGTCATTGACCCGATTAGCCAAATGGTTCCCATTTAAATATCCATGAAGCAACCTGCAATTACCAAGCATAAATTATTTTTGACAGTGAACAATATTTTAGAGAAATCTGAAATTATCATATTATTTAACAAAGTACTCCCAGTTTTGGCAGAAAATTAAAGTCCAATAATTAATTTGTTTGACCTGAGTAAATAATCTTTACTAAGGACACGGTTAGTTTTTTATTAAGGTTGTTGGGGATTCCTAATTTCTGCTTTATTATAGCGACTGTATCTTGATGACTGATTTTCTACAAAAGAAAATCAGTCGTGTTATAATTCATACCCACGCTTTTAAATACATATGCACTGTCGACAATACCTGGTCACATTAATTCAATTACTACCAAATGAATTAAAAATGATTGAATAATTCCACATTTAAAAATAAATGAATGGATATCATAAATATATGTGATAATTTTATTCTTGGCACTTAAATTTGGCACCTAAAAACTCAGAATTGGCGCCATGTAAGGGGAAACACTCCAAACAGTGTTTAATTAATTTAATTTTTAATCCAAATTTAATTTTTAATACGCGGTCAGAATTTTACATCCACGGTTAGCTTCCAATTTTGATAATGATCACTACTTATGTAAATATATGCATATGCATATGTAAGGTAGTATTTCTACGTCGAGTAAACTCAAGCGTCCAGTTGTGAAATTCTTTATAAACAAACTTCAGTTGGGTTCATGAGTGTTTAACGAGCGAGACAGTTCGATGGCTGTTAAAAATTTAGGTATATGTAAGTTCACTAGTCAGCATTTTCAAGTTGT